AGTATAAGGGAAAACATTATGTTAATGTCTTATTGAAGAAGGACGATGAGAATAAGGAGGATGATGATACGTTAGTATCAAAAACTTGATTTCACGGAAAAAAGATTATTTGTGGCCTTCCTAATAAGATTTTATTTTAAATTATATATCCCTAGAATTCGTTGGTTTATTTACTCATTGTTACTTTTACAAAATAATGTTCTTTGGCTTTAGCAATTTTTAAGGTTAACTCAATTATACAATAAAACAAGAAAATCGGACAAGCCAAATTTATATAATTTACAATTATATATTTTAATGTTTTAAAATATTAAATAATTTATTTGTATTCTAAATACTACTTAAGATATTCGGACAATCCGAATTTAACATTTTGTTTAATTCTAATGTATTAAATTATTATACATTTTGACTTGACACATTTACATATATAAATAATTAAATGGTAAAACTAAATTTCTGAAATTCATATTATTAATAAAAATGATATTATTGACCAAAAAAAATTAATAACAAAAGAATCAACCACAATGTTTATAATAAAAATCAAACAACTACATATTTCACATTTTTAAATACTAAAATTAAAAACAAAACTACATTAATAATTTACATGCGTGTACGCAGAATAATCACCTAGTTTCATTCAAACAAACAACAAAACATGAAAACAAAAACAAAAAGCGATATTTTCTAAAGTATAATATAGTTATTTTACACTTTCAAATGTATTGTTTTTTCTTCTTAATATTGAAAGACGTCATGAAGCTCGAGTTTCATAACGAATATTCCGCGGGTGTTACATAGCCATGAAACATAGGGGTTAGATCCACATTAATAAGCCACATATTAAATAAGTATATTAAGTTAACAAAAAAAATTATTTCAAATTGCATGTTAACTAGATTTTGACCCATACCAAGCATAAGATTCAATAATTAAACATGTTTTTAATCGAATTTAATATTTATATGTGTATTCTAACATTTATAAACACACAAAAATATATGTATTGTGAATACAAATAATAAAACTAAATTTTGATCAAACATAAACATATTTTATCTTTGTTATTTTTTATTTCTCCCATCTATTAAAAATAGTCATGAATTTTTGTTTTTGAATATTTTAATACCGTTTTTGACTCGGATAAAAAAATATAGTATTATTGAAAAGAAAATAAGATATTTTCAACTATTTTCTATATTTTTAAATAAAATTATTTATATTAATTATTTGTTGTTTCCATATATTTGTTATTAATAATTTTAATAATTTTTATTAAAAAATAAATTCATTAAAACTCTGATATCTAGGATTTTTATCTAGTGACTCCGAATTTATTCTTCTCTTAGATAAAGCTTTAGTTGTGCCTCACACTATCCCTCCAAATAGTGGATGGGGTTTTGGATTATTTAATAACCAAACAAATAATTTGAGATGTT